TGGAACTTCAATTTCATATTCAGCAATTCCAGAAAACTTCCAATTTCTTGTCTCCAGATACAACTTTTCTATACTTAAAACGGCAACTTCGTCAATTATATTTATTTGTATTTTGAGTTGGGAATTTTTGTCATACGCTAAAATTTCATAAAATACTTCATGACAATTTCCATTTCGTTTTTTTTTTTTTTTTTTTTTTTTTTTTTTTTCTGGATAAAACGCTGTAGTGAAGAAAACTTTCAGTAAAATCGATACTCTAAATTTCAATTCAATACATTTGTCAAACGATGTTTAAGGAAACCTCTGCTTGCTTTAAAGAAGTGACTACAGATTTAAAGTGCCAACAACCAACTTTGACTACACATATAAATCATATGCCTAAGTGGAAAAGTGCTGAGTCTAAAATTATTGAACGCGTTCCATCTTTGTCCTTTGAAACGAATGCAATTAAGAATACTATGTTGTGATGGTCACGAAATTAAAAAAGCAAAAATACTCTTTGGTAAGTTATGAATCATACATCCTGGACTCAGTGTCAGATGAAAAAAAAATATGAAAGCTTTCAGATTTTATATTACGTCCAAAAGAGCGTTGTTTTAATGTCTTCTGTTACCTTTATTTATTAAATATCATGTTCTTGGCACATAAAACCACATATAATGCAATGTAACAGCAATATCATAGAATATTTCAAAACACTATCTTTAGAATTTTCGATATACAATCTGGATTTATGAAGATAAAAATAAGTTTTCCCGTAAAGTTTTGCCATTGCTAGCTTTGAATTTGTTGAGTTTATTAATTGGAAATTCGTTAAAGTTTTAGAGAATGTAAAACAGATAACAAAACAAACTCGAGTTGCCAGGAGTACATGTTCGAGTAGAGGATTACGTTATTCAAATTTGATGGATCTAGGTACCATCGTTTCTTCCAATGCGAGAATCATGCATACACATTCGAGCAGATTCTTATACATTTAATTTATTTAAATATAACAGAGGGTGATAATATTTAGTGGCAACAATATGAAAAGTGATTCAGTACTTTCAGGAATTCAACCCAAAATGCTGTTTCCAGACTAATAGCCCTTCGGTACTAGCGTCGCTTTGGGCTAAAATGTAAACCCATCTACATAGAATATCATAATCCACAGTGTATTTAAGCCTTTATTCGAAATTCGTATGTTTTACAGCATTTTATTAGTTTTATTTTGATTAATATTTCAGGAAAATATTCTGCTTAATATACAAAACAACTTTTAACATGCTATATTTTGTAACTTTACCTAAAATTTTAATCACTTTGAAATCGTTTGTAATACTCATATTGGAAGTTTGTAAACTTATGTAATCCAGTAAACTTGCGGTGTATTTTATTATTGATTCTGGAATAGAATTTTTCATTATTTGTTATTTTTGCTGTTGAAAGATAACTTTTCTACATTTGCACTTACGTTACGTCAAACGTTCCCTCTACAATGTAATAATATATAATATGAACTGATCATCAATTATGTAATGTGCATAAGAGTATGCTGCAGCAGACAAATATGTGCAGGAAATTTAGAAATTGTGCCAAGAAAGCCTTTTAATTAATACCTTTCAATTAATAATTTTATTCTAGAAGTAATGAACTTATAAATAGGCTTATGGCACTAAGTGCCTCTGTGCACTGCATAAGACAATTCTCTTTAAACAAGAAGGGCTTGATTTATGATGCGCTATGTTTACAAATCTAGCATATATGAGTTCTTCCTTACGTTTGGCGCCTTTGATATTTCTATGGATCTCAGAACATTTTGCGTGCAAGAAAATTATCGTGGATTATGATTTTAGACGTAAATAAACGAAATACTGAAAAGAACTATTAATATCTGTACGATATTACGCACGTTTATTACCCACAAAAATGTAACAGCAAAATGTTGCCGTTTCGTTAGTGATTACACAAATGTTAATATTTACTAAACGGTAGCGGATCCAGTTTTGCGTGGAATAATTTCTCAACATTAGTCTCAGAGCGTCGCATTTTCAGGATTCGCGCTATCGTATGAAATCCAAATATTCAGACCAAAACAGTTGCAGAATAATTTTGCGTTTTAATCTATGATTTCCTGAAAGATCATAAGTGTCAGACTGGTAGCAGTTAGCAAAGGTTTCACATCAATATGTACATACATTTATTAAATGAAAAATTATGCTTTCTGAATGTACCGTTTGTTATCCTGTTCATCAAAAGGAATTTATAAAAATGTTTTTAGATTTAATGTACATAAAGTATCTAATCTACTTGGATATGTTTCATAATTCAATCTACATGTGTATTAGTTATATTCGATCAGTCGCATATCTATACCTTAAAAAACATTGGAACGATCAAATCTACTGAAATCGAAACGCTTCAAACATCTATTGACATGAAAACCTCAAATCTCAAAAGACATCAGGAAATTCTATACAGAAGAGAAAATAAAATTCTAGTTTGAAAAATAAAATAAAAATATTCCTTCGGAATTTCTTCCAGAAATCCCACTATTAGAAGCGGCTGAATGAAAATGAGAAGTCTTATATCCGAGACGGTAAAAAGTTACCATCCGTCGTCATAGAAACCCAAATTCATATGGTTCTGCTATATCATCCATATGGTTCTAGCTGCTACATAATGCATCAAATAGACTTAAATCTAATTTCTGATCGAAGCTCATGTATATGTGAGCTACGAACACTGAACTATAATCAAGTTTCTTTCCTAACATAATAAAAAATGATTAGTGATAAATAGCAAAAGCAAATTATTATTGACAATTTTTAACAATTTAGATCATTGTTAATTATTTTATAATTTTTTTTCAATTAATTTCAACAACATGCAATTATAATAATAAAAACACCATCAAAATTTCAAAATGCTTAAGGAAAAATTTGAAATTAAAAACATAAAATGTATATGAACGAAGGCAATTTCAATCTAATTTTAGCGTTTAAATTAACATTTGAGAAAATTATTAAAGATTTTGCGAAAGCCTTCATGTTTCAAAAATTATTCTCCAAAATTTAGTAGTATACAGCATAAAAACTTATATATAATATAACCTCGGAATGAGAAAACAAAAGGCAAAAAAATATTTGTTGCGATGGTATTGTCTTATAAAGTGTTGCGATGTGGAATCTTAATGGTTTAATTGTCAAAGAAAAAGTCTTAGTTATTAAATGCATAGCTTTCATTGGTTCACTAGATTGCATGTGAAATAAATTGGAACAAATATTTTCCTCAAGAGGATATACTTTCTGTTTTACAATAATTCGTAATATGCGAAATTAAACAGTAAACTGTCGGAAGATTTTGTCTTGAGGAGTTAAATGTAGGCTTAAATAATTCATTCATTAGCAGGATACTTTTAATAATGATATTAAGTTAGATCCCACACATATGTGTACTTCCAGATACTCAGAAATTTAACTGTTAAAAAGCAGTTTTTTACCGTAATTGCGTTGGTAACTCCTAGGATTTACTGCAAAAGCTTGGTAAATGCCCCAAATGGAATCATATTATAGCATACTTAGGACTTTTACCGCTTTGGTAAAAGCTAGATTTTACCGGATTTACAAGGATACGTAGGATTTACAAGACTTCGGGCGTTTACAGTAACATGTATATATAATAGTTCAGATAGCTCAGTAATTAATTTAGTTCATGCACTAACTTCACTATTGTTTGGCCAAGGTGGAACTAAATGTTAACTTTCAATTTAGAGCACCGGGAATTTCATCTTCCTGCCCGTTGGCAGAATTGCTTGTTTGTGCGTATAAAATTAAAAATTTAATTGTAAAATTTATCTTTTAACTGTCTTTAAATGTATTTGGTGCATTATAGTTTTCTGAATTTTACTACTTTTAATCAAGAAGCTTTGGGTTTTTATGTATTTTTGCCTTGTTTCGAAAGGAGAATTTAACTGATTGAAAAAGAAACATATATCTAATGATATTGGAGAAAATAAGTTTACGCGAAGGTCAGCAAATTATATATGGTATAATAGGCCGTACAAGGATGTCATGTGGTGTGTATGTCAGATATTTTATAGTTCTATATTGGGATAATTTTTTTTATGCAGAAGCCACAATTAAATCAATATTATTATACTTGCCTTATATACAATAAGTTATGCAAAATTTTAATTACTTCAGTTTTGTTACTTTGGCTTTTACCATTTCTGATACTGCTGATAAGTTACTAAAGCCCTAAAACTGAAAATATTAATTCCACATGATGGATATATATAAAAGAATCAACGTACATAATCATAAAGAAATATTTAACAAACAAACTTGAAAATTTAGTAGTTCCTCGGAATTCATTCTCATTTTCGGGCCGTTTTTATCTGATATAAAAAATATGAAGAATAGGTAAAGGAAAAAAAATGGCCAAGACGTGTAGCTTCAGTTACAATTTAAAAATTTTTTTAAGATGCAACTAATTCCTTAATTTTCGCTATAAAAAGCAGGATGCCTGAGAAAGAAAGCAAATTTCTTCAAATGTACTTGGTACTTACAAAGCCGAGTTAAACTTTGCGGATAAAATTCATTGTGATTGTTTATTATCTAGAAGGAGCAACTCTAGCTGTAATATTATAATTTCCAGTCTTAGAGTCATTATTATGATACGCATCGCACATTTAATGTTCGTATTTTGAAGAAACAATGGCATTAGTCAGACTCTTGATTTTTCATAGCAATGGTTTCTACTGCACGTTCTACAGGTCACTAAAATTGCCTTTATTATTTTCTTAATTTAAGACCAATCAATGAGAGTTACATGCGCTTAAAGATCGCACAGATGGCAGTGGGCATATTGAACAAAAGAAGAGCATTCAGTTGTGAAAATAGAAATGCTATCCCTCCTCATTAGTAGATAGTACAAAGAAAAGCAAATTGATTCTTGAAAGGAACAAAATAAAGTAAAAAAAAGTCACAAAAGAAGTAGAAAAGGAAATGGTCACTCACCACTGGCGAACTTCTTTTTCAGTAACTAGAAAGAAAAAATAGCGAAGTTAATAATAAGAAACTAGTTTGTTATTTACAGTCTGTTAAATAACGTATCAGGTTAGAAAAGGTTAAATAAAATTCTCATCGATCTCTTATTGTTCTTTATCTGCGTCCTAGGATATAAAACAAACTGCTGAAATAGATCTGACTAGGTTAATTATTAATGCACTGAGATATCTACGACAGCAGATTACTTTTTTATTGTTTCAAAACATATAGAAACCTCCAGTCCGAAACATATAAACGCAATAGTAAGATTTTTTAAGTGGTAAAAATATATTCTTACGCTTTGTGATAAAATAGTGCTAAATGTTCAGATCATTAAAATTAATTTTATAATTATAAAATTTTATAATTATAAAGTTATAATGCGCTTTTCGAACAGCTATCATAATAATGCAAACACTGTAATATCAATATCACCTTTCCAATATCATAATTCAAGTATCAACCTAATTAAACCTTTAAAATTAATCTGAAGCATAATTTAAAAAAGGAAAACTAAAAATTCAAGAATGCAGAAGATATGCTGATAATCATAGGAAAGAGAAACATTCTAATTTGAGTTTCAAAAGTAGGCAGAGATAAAATTTTAGTTTTACAGAAAATTTTATACATTTCAAAGGGGTCTGACCTAACTTTCTCCTTTTCAACGGAAACGTATTCTTGAAGATAAAAAAATATTCTGAAGAGAAATTTGCATTTAGCGAATTTTGTCTGGATTTAAAATTTAAATTGTGCAGTTTTTTATTTTTGAAGGAGAAAGTCCTGTATCAGATTACATAGATATTTATGAAGTTTAACGCTTTGACTGCTTACCTCACGATTTCTACAGACAACGTAAATGTAGCAAAATTTGCTCATCCAGCGATATACGCGGCCTTGTGTTTTTTCCTTTATTAAAAGCGTATCTCGCTGTTTCAATGTTTAATCGTCAGTTACGCATTTTGTACTGGGTTTGTACTGACTTTAAATTACCTTTTCCCAAACAGATGGGATTGATTGTTCCCCAAAGTTCCTATGTTTGGGTAAAGTTTCCGAATTTATATGTAGATTTCAAGTTGAAATAAAGAATACACAATTTTTGAAGCCATTTTGTTTTAAAAAAAATTAGCAGTCAGAGGGTAAATGTCTAATGAATGCGTAATGCTTTCTAATTTAAAAATTTCGTATAATGGACCATAAATGAAATGCCCAACATTCTTATAATGGTGAAAAACAATCATTAATACACCATTCACATTTTCATAGTTTATCGTATAAATGTTTCAGTTCTTTGGAAGTATATGTACGAAGTTTAAGGGTTTTCCTTACTCCTTCAAATCGGAAAAAATATATTTGATCCTTTACACCGCGTTGGTTTAAGATTTCAGAGAAGGGAAAAAACGCGTATGCGTTTCACCAAGTGATGAATAAAAAGAAATACACAACATAGATAAACAACAAAATTTACATTTAAAAATGCAAATTCCACAGGAGACACACAGTATCAACATTTTAGGAAACCTCGTTACATTCCTTATTCACGTTTTGTTGATGTTATAAATGATAAATGCGACATATTTTAAGTATTTTATCGTACGCCTAGCATACGTAATACAACTGTAGAAGTATCATACTATTTTCCCACAAAATATTTCATTAACTTTATGTAGGCCGTTACTAAATAGCAAATATCGCCATTCCCAAATGATTGTTCATAAATTAAACCTTTTATGAGTATTACGTTAGATCTTTTAACTGTTTCAGATATCACAACGACCAGTATTAATTCCATAAATTTATTTAATGGTTTCTCACAGACATTTGGTGACACGTCATTTCCAATATAAACTTCAATATCAAGTTTTCCATTGTCGAAGCAATATTGATTCAATCTGACAGTTTTAAGATATCAGCAAGAATATGGAAATGAGAATTTATAATTGCAGATTGCTTTAGGCGCTTAAATTTCATTATCATGCAATATTATTATTGGACAATATCTATGAAGAATATTTCCAAAAATTAAGTTTTCCGGAAGTTCTTCGTATTGTTTATGTCACGGCCATGAATCCGTGGCAACCTTTAGCTTATAACACGATGAAAACCTTGATTAAATCTTGAAAACCTTAAAAGCTTTAGAAATGCTCATTGTAAAAATTAGCATATCCGAGATTTTAAACAAGTGATATCAAGTTGCGATGATTTGTTTTCAGAGACGTCAGAGCATGAAACCTCTCGGTATATTTATATATATGAGTAATGCGTTATATAACTTTTCTAGCAAGAGGTTTGTGTATTTTTGAGAAAACTTGCATTTTTGCCTCCTTGCAAAGGTAGTATTGTAGTGGCAAAAACTTTCAGATTTCAATGGAATTATCCATCTTGGCCTTTTCCGAATAAATTTTGAGTGTTTTTTGCGTGACTTCACTACGCATGGATATAATATACATGAATCTGTAACATCAAGTTGTGCATCTCTCTTTTTTATTGCAATCCCCGCAGTACCAAAAGTATATATTTACTCACCCCGCCTTACCCGACTTAAAAGTCTTTACCCGGCCTTCAGTTTTGCAATCATTAATCGCAGACACATACTTCCAACTACGGAAGTGTTTTAAATGACGAAAATATTCATATTTTTGCAATTTCAGATTTAGAAAAAACACTTTTAGACGAGTAACGAAATCTAACTTTTAACGCGGTGTCCCGATTACTATATTTATGTATATAGAATTTATGTATATACAAAAAATAAAAATACAAGAAGTTTGACTCCTGAATGACAAAAATTAACCAGTTAATTTCAAAACCTGGTTACTATCAAAACTTGAAATTTTGGAAATTAACCAGCATGTTTAATTTCAAAATTTGAAATTTTGATGTCATTTTTAACTTGCTTTAAGGTGTCGATTAATTAAGTTTGAATATTCCAAGAAAAAAGAGGTTGAATGAAGTGCATCAAAAAATGTATATAATTTAATAGGCAATACAAGGAAGCATGTGCTGTCCACATCTGATTTTTTTTTATATTGGATAACAGTTTCAGTGCAGGTCCTGCCTGAAAAAGCTGTCATGGATTTGGATTTTATTTTGATTAGGCTCGATTGTAAATTTCTCTATTTCGGTTAATCATTTGTAATCGGGTCTGAAATTGAACTCTAAGTAGCTAATCCTGCAGAAGAGTAATTAATATTTACCATGTCCATGTTATTGGCCACGCTAACTTGGGATATCTCGCTAAGCTTATCTCTTGCTAATTTGGGACAAAACATTATTTTCATTACTGACTGGTAGATTCGGCAAATAAAATTAACGGTTTCTTTTAATAATAAACTAAACATAGCATAAAATAGCAATTTAACATCTCTATCCTGATACCTAAACAGAATATACAATATTTAAGATGTGAAACTTAATGCATAATACTTATATACATATATTTAGCACAATTTAGTACTTGTAACGAAACAAAGAAAGTGTCATATATACGTAAATTCAACTATACATAATATAATTATACTTTTATACTTAAAATATTTCATTTGCAAGGCTAAACGTCTAACTACAACATTTTAAGAATTATTTCGTGTTAATATAATTAACCAAAGAATTTTAAATGGAATCCTACTTTATTGCGAGGTTTCTTTTTAATTTTGTAGCTTATAACTCCTTACCATCCATGATCTCCGACATTAGACTTCTTGTTGTTTAAATTAATTCACTGGGAATAATATTTTAATAAATTATAAGTTTATAAATTGCGTTGTTTGAATATATTATTTTAATGAAATTCGTGAAAATACCATTTTATTCTAATTTATTTTACTTATTTAATTTATTACGTAACTGTACAAAATGTTATACAATATAACAAAGCACTCTATACAGTTTTCGGAGGGAAGCTTTTTATACCAGTTCCATTCTACCTGTCAGTAACAAATATACAAAAAAATCTGATGTGGAGACCACATGAATTCCGTTTATGGCATATTAAACTATACACATTTTTGCTGCACTTAATTTAAACTTATTTCCTCGAATTTTATTAGAATTATATTTCTCATTCAGTCATTTCGGTTTTCATTTCGCAGCAAGACAAAATCTCTCCCTCCCCCAAAAAAATCTTCAAAAAAATATAGAAAGCAGAAAAAGTAAAACACTCAAAACAGTTAAAAACATAATTTTTACAGTTAAATTAAAGTTCCTCTGAAAAAATAAACAATTCGCCCAGCGGGCAGGAAGACCAAGAAACAAAATTGAAAGTTAACTTTTAGCCCCACTGAGTAAAAACATACTGAGGTTGGAGCACCAACTGACTTAATTCACTCTTCTGCTAAGAGTTTCAAATGTAAACAAGTGGCGGCTCGTTAGTTATACCACCACTTACATTTTTAAACGGTTGATAATTCTACAACTGCTGCATGCAGATTAACTAAAGACATAAAACCTTAATCGGAGCGTAAGAAAAACACAATTCAACTCCTTTTAAATAAAAAAATCACAATTTAAAAACATATATGAATAAAACTAATTAGCTCACCGAGCCGTTTAATAATGCGGGAATATGGCTGATTGCAATGCAAAAAGGGAGGTGCACAACTGCATGTCATAGCAGCCCCATATACAAAATTTCAATGTCCTACGTCTGATCGTTTCTAAGTTATAAGAAACATATCCATACTTACGTATGAATGCTGTTATATAATACTTTTCCTAATCTTGATTATCAGCAATTTGATTTTAATATTTTTGTTTACTTTTTTACAAATGACAAATATTAGCGCTTAAGCCATTAGGTTCTCCAGAACTATTTAACAATGTCGTCATACCAAGAAAGTGCAATACGATTGTTTAAATGTTCAAAAATCATACGCTGATTGGAGTCGCACAAAATACAGTATGGGGAAAAAACTTGTGCAAATTATTTGTTAAACTGATATGCAACAATTGAAAAATAACTAATGGCATTTATTTACAATTGCATGTATGTATCAATGC